TACTTGTGTCATTTGATAGTACGTGCGATGAACAAAGAGCTGACAACAAGAGCCATGAGCAGTGTGAGAACGTGAAAAATCGAGGCAAGGCATGGCAGTCTCTAGGTAGGATGAAAATAACCTTGAGATGTTGGGTAAGTGGTTTATGTCACTGTCGACCACGGTTTTCACGGGTGAATGACCGCAGTCTGAACACTGACACTGTGACCCAAGTGCTCTAAGTCACCCATAGTATAATCGGGGTGAGTGCCTTCGACTGTCACTGGTGACGCCTTTCTGTTCACCTCGCGAAACAATCTTATACGAACGAACGTTTCACAAAGCCTCTGCTGCGGAAGCCGTCTCAATTCTTTGTTCAAGTGCGAATAATAGGATGAACTGAGCAGCAGAACTCGATGCATTGTGGACTCCAAGCTCCGTCGAGGTGCACTGAATTTCCGACATTCTAGTCAGAGGTTTCGAGTTAGGACCTCAATGCAAGACTTTTTATGCACTTACAATTTCATGTCAAGCTTGGATTTCCCGTAGGAAAATTGGCTGTCGCCACGAAGCATTGTGATGCAGTCATAACGAAGGTCAACCGAACATATTCGCAAATACATCTCTTCATGTTCCCTGATGGTTTGCACGTGCAAGCACTGCCCAACAAGAATCGGTTTGACCGTCATGCAGGTCATTTTCTGATTACCTAATCGTTGAGGTGTACAGCGGGGGTGAGTAACCGCACATTATCTTTTAATTCATTTGAGTTCAGTGTCAAAAAAATCATGATACAAAGAATATTTGTGACAAACAAACTGGTCAATGAGTATAACCCGAAGAATCAGTCACTTGCCTTGTTGTGTGGGCACATACAGAATTCGCAAAGTGCAAGAACCGTGGGACCAATTGGTTGTCGTGCAAATGATAGCGAACGGCACAAGATCACGTGTCAGGTCCGCCAAGCAGGGTGTTAAGTGTTCTACTGACAACAGAACCACAATGTGCGTCCTCAGGGGTGTGGTGAGTTCACGTCCACCAGGCCCACGGAGGCCTGTGGACACGCGTTTCTCAATAGTCTCCGCATAGGGCACAAGATCATGCTGCACGGCCACAATGGCCACTGTGTACGGTGGTTGTGGTGGCGGTGAAGAACCTCGAGCTACTCGGCCAGATGGTGATAAGCTCCGGGTGGGTTTATTCGATCTGAAAAATGCGAACAAAGGGGAATATTTTAATAGAATATCGGAATATGAGAAAGCAACGGAAGACAAAATGATCACGTTTATAGAAGATATGGAAGAGATTTGATGGGAGAAAGTCAAGATGATCACGAATTAAAATTTCATTAACGTATCCGCAGGTCACCTCCTTCTCCGTCCCTACAATTCCATGTTGCTGCCCTTATAAGGAAGACGCTGGCCAAGAACATTGCTTTGAACAAATAAAAAACAAAAGAGGAAAGACGACAATTCCGAAGAACAACTAATAATGAAATAGGGTCAGTCAGTACCAACTTAGCTTCAGTGATCTGGGAGATAAGACGGAGATTGAATTCGTTGGAGGATTTCTTGAGAAGTAACAACAGAGCACTGTACCAATAACTGAAACAAATGGTCGCACGCAAATGATATGACATAGGAAGAGGAAACATAATTTGTTCTAAAAAATGTAGAGTTGTGAAAGATTTAGTCGATCAAACCGACTATTGTGATCACGTTAGACTTTTAAACTTCGTGTCTTGACAGCACTGTTTACTGACAAAGCATTTTTCATATATTTGCGTTGCAGCCGATGTATCTACGGAGCTAGAAGATCAAAGCCTCATACCTTGCTCGGTCGTTTTTCTCTCACGATTATCGCTCAATCCTTCGAGTACGTCACACCAACACAACCTGAATCATGGGATTAAAGTGCTCTTGAGCCCTGAACATTTGACGGAGCAATTCCGTGGTAGCCCAGATTAAGCTTCCTTTTGACAGCTCTGGCGAGTTCTATACTGTTTGTATTTTAGTTATCTGCTCAGTCTTGCTTCGGCATTCGCTCTTACACAAATGAGGTAAAGGATTTTGAAAGTTGATCGGCAGGATTCCATTCAGTCATTATATATTGGATAATTTTACCTGACTTGTGGCACTTTTATTCTCGAATGGAGGATCAAGGTTCACCTCAAATTCCGTGAATATAGTGCTTGGTGGCAACTACTAGGTACAAAAACAACTTGAATTAAAATCTTGGTCCAACCAACGCTATAGATGGTATGCCTTGAAAGTGAATCCGTGCCACATCTGATGGTCGGTGACACCTAATTTCCTTGTATTGGTACTCACGGCAAGATGGAAAGAATAACAGAATTTTCCCCACACCACTTCCTGCAAGTATATGAGTGTCTTCATTTCTTATTACACACCTTTGTGTGATGAACAGCAGAGGCGGTAAACCCTAGACATGAGGACCTGCTGTTAAGTGATGGAAACCGGTAACTTAATCCCCCGAGATTTGGAGTGGAGAGGCGTGGTATTAAACTGGATGACAGCAAAACTGCTCACCACCTCAGATTCCCATTTAACTACACCTCAAGTTTTTGAGGTACCGTAACTGACGCTAAGGGGTGAATCTAGGGCAAACAAGAAATGCAGTCGAATTCGAAGATAGTAATTATTTTTGGATGTATTCTGGAAAACTCGTTTTTGATGTAAAAAAACATACCATTTTAATTTGAGATGCATCGGCACCAATTTAAAGTGTCCTGTTTAGCGTGGGCAGTATCTCCCTGAATAACAAGACGAACTTTCGAAACAACAGGCCTCTTTTGAGTTTGCTATACGCGACGCGTCAATGCACGAGGTTACACTTCCGGAGATCGAGATTGTAAAGAACAAGTGATCACCTTTGACAGCTTTCCCTGTTAAAGTAAATGTTTTTGGTGCACAGTATCTGGAACAGTGCACTGACATCGCACCAAGGACTCGGCTGCTGCTACGAAAACAGCAAATTATCTCTCATCGTAAGAGACGACCACGCATCTTAGTGCGGGAGATTGAAAAATTGCCAAGATGTCAGTTTAACATTAGTTTCTTATTTTACTTTCACCTATCCAGGATATAGCCTTCCCCTAAAAACCAGCCAGTTATTTCTTACTTTATTGCACCCAAGGGTGACTATTCAGCAATTACCACAGCGCCGAAGCAGTATAAAGGAGTTATGCATAGCATAAGAACCAAAAAGGTATTAAATCAATCGTACTAAATGTTACAGAAAAATTTAGCAAGTTATGGCACTTCCAGTGATTTTCACTTCGTAGTTCTTGCATGTATGTGCTTATACCCAGCATGCAATATATATATATATATATATATATATATATATATATTTAAGTTGAAATCACAGGCAACAGGTGCTATGGCAATGAGGGATATTCACTTATCGAGCGGAAATAGGTTCAAACCCAGTTACCACCACACATTTCTTTGGGCTTTAGCCCTTTGATTGGCTGCTTCCTAAGAATTGTCCGCGCTGTTACGGATCTAATAAAGAAAATAAAATGATTACAGATAAGCAGTTAAAAAATCTGTTGAAACCAAAATTTACTTAATGATTACAAGTTTGCCACCTGAATAAATGTTAACGTAGCTGCTACAGATTCCTTGTCCACATTACGCCTTCAACGTGATGGTGCAATTATCATTAAACCAACTTGATTGCCTTCAATATCCGTTTGTCCACCCTGCAATGCTGCTCATGTACTACAGCTGTTTACATTATCAAGAACGGTTCAAAATCACTAGTTAAACGATTCAACAGATGGCTCACATTCTGCAGCCCAATATGGAATTCACTAATTTGCAGTGCACACCACATTACTTTTTTTATTACACACTTGCATGTTCTGAACAGCAGATGAAGAAAGCCCCATAGTCACGAGGACCTGCTGTTTAGTGATGGAAACCGGTTACCCCATCCCCGGAACTTGGAGTGGTGAACTACATAAGGTGTGGTATTGGACCGAACGACAGCAAAGCTGTCTACTCACACTCACCATGAGTAATACCTCACTAAAACTCCACTGTTACAAATAGGGCCCTGATCACTTTCCCGAAGGTATTGCTCCTGCGACAGGGTCAATCGAGGAGCAAAGATGTATACAAGTGATACACCTGGCCTTAGTTGGGACAAACCTTGCCATACGGGAGCATCAAGCTTGAGTTGTTTTAAATTAGGAAAGTTTTCTCATATTTGAGAGGGACAAAGCGAACGGAATGTTACGGAAAACTTAGTAGAACTTCGTACATCACTTCTAGTTCCGCTGGCGAAATGTGAGCACTTGCGTTCGCATAAGAACGGAACAAAATAATACAAAACAGTTCACCGCAATTTGATTGTAATGACAGTCGAAGTGGAGTGAAGTGAAGTGCAGTGGCAGAGTTTAAGCAAGCTTCCAAGGGTAGCAGACGAAAAGTGACTCTCACCAACCCCTAAGTGAGATTTTAAACGAAAAAGATAAAAACTATGCATGATTTGGCATGAGAAGATAAGCATATCTTTTAAATAAAACGATAACAACATGCAGCTCATTGCTTGCTTTTCCGCTATCGCCCTGAAAACAATTTTTCGTAAGTGGTTCTGCATGCAAGTTGTCGGTAGTGGTGTGAACGGAACTTAGAAAGAACAGCATGCAATGGTAGTGAACGATCCTGAAGGATCTTTACACCAGACCTTACGCCGGAGACCAAGGGTGAGCCACGCAGATCTAATCGCGCTTTATTAGCAAAGGATCAAAACGCAAGGTCAGGAATTCTTCGCGCAGAGTGGTGGAAGGGCAATATAAGATTAAGGAGTATACAGTGTTGAATAAAAGTTGAATGACCGTCGCACACGAAAATATTTGTGTAAGCACTTTAACAGCTTGGAAAAATTCTGTGACAGATTTTTTAGTAACTGGTTGCGGTGGGATGCAGTTTTTCCGTTGTCTATGAATATCACTTCTTTTCCAGTCTGCGTAAAAATCCTAAGTTATCGAATTTGCCTCTAAATAATGCTGATGCAAAGCGACGCAGCCTCTTCTGAAATTCGTTTGTTCTCAGTAAACACAAGAATCAACTAAATCGTCTCAATCTTGCTTTACTTAGCCTCGACCGAGAGCGTAATATAATCCTAATCAACAACCCCGTCCGTGTCGATAAGTATCTCATTTCGCTCCTGACCTGTACGCATGCGCAAAGGCAATTACGCACTCACTCCGCCTTCAACCAATGATCGCTTTATTCAGTGGACTTTGCAAACATGCCTGGTCAAGCCTAAATCCAACGGTAATTAGGATCTTTTCGATTCACGTTATACATACGTCAACAATGGACAGCATTTGTGAAGCGTCGCAAGCGAGCACATTGATGTCGCGCATAGTAGAGGGTAGAAGAGTGCTGAACCGAGATCAATCAAGAAGTCTGTCAGTTGAAACCCCATAAGGTACGATGCACGTAGGAAAGCTTTTTTAATTGATATCGGAATACTTTGAATTGAGAAAGATAAAAAAAAGTTCAGTTATTTTCGATTTACACTTCTCCTCTGATGCAATGATGCAACTGCATGTCAACTGCCCTGACTTACAACCTCGATGATTCTCCAAAGCAGGTGCGTGGAACAACGGAGGCACGAATGGTCACGAATGCTTAGAGCCCGAGTGGTTTATGCTGGGCTGAAACCTCTTCAGCGTCGACATGACGTTCCAAGTCGAATGAGTGATAATAACATACGAGATAAACTCAAAGGACCAAAAAGTACTAACGGTAAAGATAGATAACAAAGTGACTGTTTCGTGACGGGTCGGTACTATTACTACGTTGTCAATACAAGGCGTGGTAGGCAGCTGTTCTGTCGTCCGGTTCAATACGACGCCTAATCTATCGGGGTCTTATGTGGTTCGCCACTCGAAGTACCGGGTATTCGGTTACCGGTCTCCATCACCGAACAGCAGGTCATGACTATGGGGCTTTTCCCGTCTGCTGTTCATCACACGCAAATGTGTAATAAAAAATGAATGCACCATCAGCATCCTACAACGGAACAGTGAAGCTGATCCCTGTCAAAGGGAAGCATAATATTAGAGTTGATGACGGGCGTTGCACCAACTTAAAACGAGTGCTCAGGGATGTTTTTCGGGTGAATAAGTCGCAGACTGTAGAATCGTAACTGGAGCCTTCGATTCAAGAGACTGAACAAACAGTATGTGAATAATTTGACCAACAGAATTTG